GGCTCTGGCACGGCAGCCCTGGTTTGGGGGTGCCGGTAGTCCTGGTGCGGGGCAAGGTTCCGCGCACCCGGCTCAGCTCCTCTTCCTCCCGCAGGAAGCCGACGTTTGGGAGCGCGGAGAGGAAGACGCCCGTTAAAAAACTGGTGTCCGAGTTCTCGAAAGTGAAGAGTAAAACTCCGAAGCACTCCCCGGGGAAGGAGGAATCGGGCGGCTCCTTGTCCGAAACTGTTTGTAAACGAGAACTGCGGAGCCAAGAGACTCCAGAAAAACCCAGGTCGCTCCTGGAGACCCCGCTCCGAGCCTCGGCCCCGCCGAAGGGCCCCGGCGCCCACCCCAAGGAGAAGGGCTTCTTCAGCAGCGAGACAGACGACCTGCCCTATCTCTCAACCACGGAAATGTACTTGTGCCGCTGGCACCAGCCGCCCCCGTCGCCGCTGCCGCTGCGGGAGCCCTCCCCAAAGAAGGAGGAGACTGTAGCAAGTAAGAGATGGAGAGCCCGCCGTGGTGCAGGCAGCAGCGTGCCAGGCGTTGGGGCAGAGCCGGCGGCCAGAGAGGGGTTTACCCGCCTTGGGGCCGGCACGGTGGATGGGGAGGGGGGGCTCGGCACCCTCGCCCCGAAGCCGGCAAAGGGCAGATCCCAGACGCGGTGGGAGAGGTGCAGCCCCTTGTGCCGCGCTGCTGGCTCTTCCTGCGGTGTCCGGTAGCAGCCCTGCTGCTGGTGATGGGCTCTCCCGAACCACGTCTCTGGCTCGCCCTGCTCCAGCGCGTGCCGGGCTGCCACCGCACTGGGCTGCCGCTGCCTGCACGGCCGAGCTGAGGGCAGCGCGCTGGGCAGGGCTGCCGGCCCTACTCCGCTTTAGCCGCCTGGTTTGCCGAGCCGCCTGGTTTGCCGAGCAGCCTGCGTGCCCGTTTGAGCGAGGGGTGAAGCAACTTCCCGTTCACGGTTGGGAAACGTGTCTCTGGCTTGTGCCACCGCGGCACAGCACGGGTTCCTCCACGGGGTCGCCTGCTGCCCCCGAATCCGGTCCTGTCCTGCCGGCTGCCCCTTCCTGGCCGATCTCCTATGGGTCCCGCAGCGTGACGAGCACTGGGCTGTGCCGCGGCAGACGCCGATGCTGCCGGCGAGGCTGCACTGGATGGCCGAGTGCTCTGGCGCGGGGGGAGCTCGGCACGTCTCCTCTCGGAGCGGCTCAGGTTTGCTTCTGCGCTGCCGGGGGGAGATGGCGATGAGCTCGCCCTCCTGTCACTGCCTCCCCCCGGGCCCCCCCGGTGGCTCCCGCCCCCCCGAG